CGAAATAGGTTTCGGACCTTGAACTTGTGTGCGAGCGCAACTTACGTACACGAATGTCTGACCGAATTGACCAAAAATTGGCTCCTTATGAGGGCTGATTATTGCCATTTACGTTTGAAACTGTTGAAACTCAAATGGTTATTGTCATTGAGTTAATGTATCTGCAGTGCTTGGACATATCCGATATGTGTTGTAAATCCGGTATTCGTTCACAAATATTTTATCTAACATTATGCACCATCATTTCTATTTACATAGCAGAAGTATCATTTCTATTTATTTTCTTTACAGATAACTTGCCTGAGTGTAGCCTTGACAAGTCATATATTCTTTAAGCGTATTAATCTTCATTTCTAAATTATTCGCAAAACCTGCCAACTCATATGTATGCATAGATGAGTCAATAAGCATCAGTTGAGAAGCAAGTTTTGCATTTCTCAACTTCTGTAAATAATTAAATCATGGAATTACATTTTCCAAATTCTGATTGACACTATGTTTGGATCCGCTTAGTACATTAGAAGAACTACGCATTGCTGATGATAGCATAATGACTTCACTTGAATACATTTCTTGTGAAAAAAGACGGGGCATAGATGGACGTAGGTGTGAGGTAAAAGCCCTACCTACGAGGAAGGCGTAGAAAAAGACGACCAATCCTATTTTGACAAACCTAATGATAGCTCGATCGCCTTGTCACGAGTGCCTTTTAGAACCTTGATATTATGTTGAATCAGTTCATATTACTGGTAACTAACCTCATCCTGCATCCTGATTGTTTGGCATTCACAGCAATTGTGTGAGTAACCTTTTTCACTATCAAATGATTGAGTACCTTCTGCCTCCCAAAATCATAGGAAATAGGGCATCTCTTACGATAACATATTTTGGGGGTGTTTGGTGGGGATTAAAATTAGATTTTTAGTATATTGTAATAGAAGTTTTTGAAATGTATAGTTGAAATGTTGTGGGACCCATGAAAGATGTGATTAATATTGATTGTTTGACTTTAATTTTAACTTAAATTAAAATTTGATTTTAATTTGTACCAAACAAGTTCTTAATATAATCATGTAATAAGGTGTAGTTTCTTAAAATATTTATGGCTGACATTCTTTGACTACAATTTTTATATTTCTGCGTGTCAATTCTTGTTAAAATGATGCCTTTTCATTGCTAACAAAGGTTGATGTGCTGCGATATCAATATGTAGTAGGGGTATTAAGATTTGAGATTCAATCTTAAAATATTAGCCTCTGTTTCGTCTAGATTAAAATTTGATTTTAATTTAAGTTAAAGTCAAACAATCAATATTAACCACATCTTTCATGGGTCCACAACTTTTCAACCACACATTTCAAAAACTTATATCACAATCCATTAAAAATCTAATTTTAATCATCACCAAATATCCTCTTAATCTTATTAAAATGAGTAGCTTAAGCTCATATATATTGTTCTAAATTTTCATTTTTATTCGATGTGTGATTTATTTTTTAAAATGTCATCGCAAGATGGTTGCTCTTTTTAGCAAATCAATTTTAAAATTCACATGCTCATTTTTTAAGTCTTAATCAGATCGAATTGCTCATTGGAATTTAATGAACTCTGATACTATATGAAGACTTGAAATTTTATATTAAAAAGTCAACATTATTAAAAATAGTAGCCTAAATCGACGTGGGTTTTATCCCTTAACGGAAGGTAACCAACAAACAGTTAAATGGGGACAACATATCATAACTCTCTTTTGTATCATTCTACTTTATCTTTTCTTTTGGTTACTACAAGTGAAAATTAATATGAATAAGGATTTATAACCGTACTCATTAAGAAGCGAAAAATTTGGCATTTTGTTAGATGGAAAAAAAAAAAAAAAGGAAAAAGAAAACCTTTATTTCATTTGTAACAACTTGATTGAGATGAGACAGAGCAAGAAGAAAATCATGAAAAAAAAAATGTTTTTGTCATGCTAACTTTAAGAATAAGTGTGACAATGACTCTTTCACACCAGCTTCACATGACTTCATATTGTGTCATGTAATTGTGAGCTGTGTTATAAATTATCTATTAACGAAATTAATTCTTTATTTTCTGTTTAGTGTAGAATAATAAATTATATACTCGAGTGGCTGTTTCAGTAGTTAGTTAAGGCGCTCGAATTGCATGGAGTGAATTGACGGTTTATAGGGTCAAACCTTCAACTTTCCTTGTCGGGGAAAATAAAAAAATCAATTGTGTTACACAAACAGGCTCAAAGACAGGTTCAAAGACAAAGAGGATACGTGTTGATATATGATTGGATAGTTTGAAAAAATAAAAATACAACACTTAATTATTGTCTGTCACATCACCCCGTCCCTTTATCCCTGTCCTTCAGCCTGCTCAAGGAGCATTATTCAAAAAATTAAATTCTCAAGTGATCATTCGGAGGACAATGGCACAAGACGGGATTGGTACAAGAGATATGGGAAGACGAGATGGGTACGGGGATTATACACACACATACGATTTTTGTATAAAAATATAAAACTAAAATTTATAATAAAAAATAAGAATCAAGATGGGGACCGTAATTCCCGTCCCCACCCCTATTCTCAATTAAGTCACTTAGTTCAATTTCATCATATTATTTAGCGATAGACATTGACATGATCATAACGTACTAACGATCATCCTACCCGACCATGAAAAGGGATATGAGAAAAACTAATAAAATTGAAAAATTATGTGTTATACATTAAAGCTAAGAAGTAAAAATAACCGATAACGACGAGTTAGTTACCATTGCACTTGTACGTAAAATTCAACCCAAAATAAGGGAAACATAAATATAAAAAGAAGTAGAGTACAACAACCCAAAGTCTAGCATTTTGATAGGACAAAACATCATAAGTCTATTTGATAACATGGACAGTTCGAAAATATTAATTGAGAAAAAATGGTCACTTAAATTATCATTCTTATTACAAATCTAACTATGTTATTCAATTATGCTAACTTATAAGTGATCGCTGGAGTGCCAAATGAGTTTTTTTTTTTTTTTTTCCCCTAATTTTGNTTTTGGAGTCTGTGGTTAAAATGTAGGAATTTTTTTTTTAATTTACGTATAAAATTATTTTATTAGAAGAATTGTGAGTGAAAACGAGTTCAAAAAACGATTTTTTATATAATGGTGTCAAACACGGGCTAAATATAGGAATTCTTGCACTAATTAAGAGTAGCATATCTATTCCCATTCAAATTGGACTTTGGTCGAACACCGTGTTGCTAACATCTTTGATGGGTTCTCTCCACTACGTACGTTTTGTCTTTTTCGTCATACGAAGACCGAATACATCACTTTTTTGATCCTTAAAGAACTTGATCTTGATATGCTAACTTTTTCGACTCGAATTTTAATTGACAACAAATTCTAATAATGCGACACAACCACGTCTACAATACGAATATTATTTATCTTCTTGCTAACACTAATAATGAAATTACACTAAAATATACTTTTTTAAATATTAATAATCATTTTGTGTACTAATATTACTACTTTGAGTTCGGTGGGTGGGGTGGAGGTTAGAGGTGAAAATTGAAAGGGAAATGGTAGACAAGAGAATAACTGGTCAATGCAAAATTAAGGTACAGTATTGTACTACTCAGTGCTCAGAAAATACGAAGATCATGACTCGGGGCCCCAGTACCAACTTCCAAAGTTTGCCAATAGAGTTTGGCTAAGCTTGCATAGAAGTAATTTTCTTGATCAGTATGATATTTCTCAGAAAAGTACTTATATGAAACTTATAAGCTTAGCCAAACACAAAACATGCTTATCTTTCACTTCCCCCTAACCCCAAACAAACCAACCAACNTTTTGGAGTGTGTAGTTAAAAGGTAGGAATTTTTTTTTAATTTATGTATAAAATTATTTTATTAGAAGAATCGTGAGTGAAAACGAGTTTAAAAAATGGTTTTTTATATAATGTTGTCAAACACATGCTAAATATAGAAATTCTTGCACTAATTAAAAGTAGCATATCTGTTCCCATTCAACTTGGGCTTTGGTCGAACACCGTGTCTTTTTTGTCATACGAAGACCGAATACATTACTTTTTTGATCCTTAAAGAACTTGATCTTGATATGCTAACTCTTTCGACTCGAATTTTAATTGACAACAAATTCTAATAATGCGACACAACCATGTCTACAATACGAATATTATTTATCTTCTTGCTAACACTAATAATGAAATTACACTAGCATATACTCTTTTAAATATTAATAATCATTTTGTGTACTAATATTACTACTTTGAGTTTGGTGGGTGGGGTGGAGATTAGAGGTGAAAATTGAAAGGGAAATGGTAGACAAGAGAATAACTGGTCAATGCAAAATTAAGGTACAGTATTGTACTAATCAGTGCTCAGAAAATACGAAGATCATGACTCGGGGCCCCAGTACCAACTTCCAAAGTTTGCCAATAGAGTTTGGCTAAGCTTGCATAGAAGTAATTTTCTTGATCAGTATGAATGTATGATATTTCTCAGAAAAGTGCTTATATGAAACTTATAAGCTTAGCCAAACACAAAACATGCTTATCTTTCACTTCCTCCTAACCCCAAACAAACCAACCAACTATTCCTTTATTTGCTACCAATACCATCTTCTCTTCTTTTCCATCCCACCAATCTTTACTACTCAAAGCTTTTTGATTTTCATGGAATTATAATTTTATTTTTCCATAATCACATATTTTTTGTGGGTTTCATATATCTTCTGCTGTTTCTTAATTTGAAGCAGAATTGAAATTTTCTTGGAAAAGCCCACCTCGTAGCTTTTCTTGATACCAAAGTTAGGGTTTTTCAGATGCTCTTTTTGTATATTTACGAGTCCTTGTACTGTTTTTCTTACAGTTTTTTGTTTGTTTCTTGAAGGTTGAAACACAAGGACAAGGACCCCAAAATACAGGAGACAATAAAACAGTTTTAATCTGGCGAATCTCAAAAATATGTATGAAGAAAGTGGTTGTTTTGATCACAGCAATATGCACCAGCAAGAAGGTTTGATTCAAGCAGAGGATGGTTTTTCACAAACCCATATTCCAAATTGCAGCAACCCAAGTTTTTCTATGGAGGAACACTCAAATTACCATCAAAATCACCCCACTCAACAAGATGTTGCTGCTGCAGTCTTGGAGATGGAGCTTCAACAGCAAATTATGCAGCAAGGGGAGACTCATTTGATGCAGGAAATTTTGCATGATTCAAACTGGCAAGAAATGAGTAATTTTAATGGAAATATGAATCAGTATTCATTACCAGAAACTCCATATCCCACTACACCTGATTTGCTCCATATGTTTCCTTTGCCTAGATGCTCACCATCCACAGCCTCTTTGCTGCCTAATTCATCTATTTCCTTTTCAAACTCAGCCCATAAATCTTCCAATTTCTTGGCTTCCCTTGGCCTCTTAGGTGATCTTAATCCAGTCGATGGCGCATCAGCCTCGGCAAGTGTTGTGTATGATCCTCTATTGCCCTTGAATCTTCCACCACAGCCCCCTTTGCTGAGGGAGTTGTTTCACTCTTTACCCCATGGAGGTTATGCAATGGGAGGGTCAAGGACTAGTGGATCCTTGTTCCCTGGGGTGGTGGATGAGAGAGATGTGAATGGTGGTGATGGGAGGCACTTTGATAATGGGGTTTTTGTCTTTCCTGGTGATATGGATTGTATTGGTAAAAATAGGAATGGAAAGGATACTAAACATTTTGCTACTGAGAGGGGTAGGAGAGTTCTACTCAATGACAAATTCAAAGCTTTGAGGAGCTTGGTTCCCAACCCCACCAAGGTAAATGCTTTCTTCATATATAGAATTCTTATAGTAGTTGAAGTTCTGTCTTTTTTACGTACATATGATCTAGTATATATACACATTTGTAAAATATCAAGATATTTCACTTTTAGAGATGGATCGAAAAAGGGCAGATCAGAGAGTTCTCAAGAAAATTTTCACTGCTAAAAGTGAAATTTCTAGTAGTATATTTTGTTCATTTACTTGGTGCAAGTGGTTTTAACATTTTAACACTTTCGTGAGAACAATCTAAGAATGATAGAGCCTCAATCGTCGGAGACGCTATCGACTACATAAATGAGCTTAAGAGGACATTGAATGAGCTAAAAGTGCTGGTGGAGAAGAAGAGATGCATTAAGGAGAGGCTGAAAAGGACCAAAAGGGAAGGCGATACCATGGAGGGGAATATTGACACAAAGTCTTTTGATGATATGGGACAGCCTCAGAATGGCTCATCCTTAAGAAGCTCATGGCTCCACAGGAAATCGAAGAACACTGAGGTGGATGTGCGCATTGTGGACGATGAAGTTACTGTCAAGCTTGTTCAACAGAAGAGAATCAATTGCTTACTCTTTGCATCAAAGGTTCTGGAGGAGCTTCAGCTTGATCTTCAACATGTTGCTGGAGGCCTAATTGGGGATTACTATAGCTTTTTGTTGAACTCTAAGGTAGCTTTATTAAATTCTTTCATCTTCTTTGATGATCTCAATTTATAATATGATCATTATGTTAATAAAACTTATCATTGTGCAGATCTGTGAAGGTTCGATTGTATACGCGAGTGCGATAGCTAACAAGCTTATCGAAGTTGTGGACAAGCAGTATGCAGCAATTCCACCAACTAATAGCTATTAGGTATGTATACATGAAGGAGTCTTTTTATTATAACATAGCACTTTTTTTAGTATTAATGATATAAAACAGTATGGAGAATAACAACTAATTAATTGTTGAAGTTGGGCATTAAGCTGGTATAGACAGCAGAAGAATGATCTGAATAGTAAGTTGCAGCTTTACTACAGAAGAGTAGATGAGATAATAAGTTGGTTTCAAACTTTAAAGATATATGTATAGTTACTCAATGTGGGCATGAAAAAAGTACATAAAATGCAGTCTCACAGTTGCAGCTTAACCATGTCTTCAGTTACCACAGTTCAAGTTTCAGGTTCGGGTCCAAACCTTCTTAGATATCTGAGTTTGAATCCCTAGTTAACCATATTTTGATAGATTGGTCAGAATTTTCATAATAAAATAATTGATATAATGCAGTGACCATTTGACTAGGTGTACTAGGACACTAGTGCATATTAGTTATGTGACTATTACTCTTCACATTTCTAACAAAATGACATAATTGTCCCTAAATGATTTTATACTTGCCTAGCAATGAATGGCAAAAATGGCAGTTGTCAAAGTGCAATCCCATTTGACTAGGTGTAATAGGACACTAGTGCATATTAGTTATGTGACTATTTTACTCTTCACATTTCTAATAAAATAATATGATTGTCTACTTGCCAGGGCAAAAATGGTAGTCGTCAAAGTGCAATCCCATTTGACTTGTTAATTGTCGCGGGCGTGTAAGTTGTGGCAGAGGTGAGGCCCATTTCAACGGTCAAAAAATCAATTATTTGTGAAAAAGAAGCACTCCAATATATGAAATTGCAATATTGAGTTGAATTATTAATGGGGCATTTTTAAGGGTAAATCCCATGTGGCTTAACAGTTAATTTGTTTATATTTGCAGATGAAAATTGTTGAATTGGAGGAGGATAGAGACTGATGACTACAAATTATGCTGGTGAATATTAGGAAGTAGAGAGGTTGACAGACATCCTCACTTTAATATATGCTAATTGACTCACTCAATTATATTTGTATGGACAAATTTAAAAATCAATAAATATAGATTTATCAGCATATATTGGGGGATTTCGTCCCTTTTTTTTTTTTTACCATGATCGTGATTCATTTCTAGGCAAATTCCAATCTGAGTAACGTTAAAACTTCAAATGAAATTTAGTTAATGACACGATCCATCCTGAATCACTTTTATGGAATCAAAGCACGATGCACTCCAATGATGAATGCCAGTTACATGCTAAACCCATCACGAGCGATAACCGTGTTTTGTATCCAATCAAATGCTAGACAAAAGAAAACTATTCTATGTCAATAAGAAAAGAACACGGTTCCAAAATAACATCCACGTGACTAAAAAAATTGAAGGTATACGAGTTTATGGCTCTGAAATCGATAGGTTGTTCATTGATGCCAAAATCCAAATGCTACGTGACTAAAAAAAGTTGAAAATATACGAGTTTATTATAACCCATTTTTTAGAATTTATCTCGAGAGAGAAATTTAGAACATAAGGAATATTGATTGTCATTATAAAATAATAATTGGCTATTAACATGTAATTGAAGATTAAAGTATGTGAAAAATGACGGATTCACGATCATAGTGTCTTTTGTGACTTGTTTAAATTACAGGGTTTGTTTGCTTGTTTTAAAGTACTTATTTTTTGTTGATAATTAGATACTATTAAAATCAAATTCAAATCAATAATTGTGTACTCTTCAATTAGAGCTAATATTAATTAAAGTTAATAAGTAGTAATCACTACACGTGAATTCGACGTTTTATTCATCATTTTATTACTTGTAATAATATCGTCTAAATAGAGGAATAAAATTCAAATCAAAATTTTTGCACAGATTGATGTCACTCAGAGTTTATGAAGTCATTTGCATAGCCAACAAAAGAAAAAGGTTTCTTTATTCTTTAAATATATTGATGAATCTTTTTGTGTGGTGTTGACGTGGCACCTTTTGATCAACTTCGAATTAATTTTAAAATTGGTTTGGAAGGAGGAGGAGAAGAAGGGAATGCAATGGCCATAAACTCTTCAATGCTTAAGTTGAAATGTAGGAGTACGATTGAGCTCATATATGTTGTTGAGATCAATGTGTGCCTTGCTTACTGTTTCGAACGACGACATGAACCCTTTTTATAGGGCGTTCGAGGAGCTAACACCACTCATCACTTCAATCAAATGTGACAAGCATGGATTGGGAGGATTTAGTGGGGATAGTGCTGGCCTTCAGCCCAGTCCACTCCCAGCGCATTTGAATTTTTTGTGGGTAAACTTTTTTTTGAGGAAATTACACAAATTCAGGTGTTTAAAGATTGATTTTCAAAAATCAGGTTTAAAGTTTAATTATTCAAAAATCAGGTAATAATTTTATATTTTAATTAATATAAAAATATTATTAAATATAATATTAATAACCTTAATTTTATCAATTCCTTACTTCCTCCCTCTCCTTCCCTCCCCCGTCTCTCTCCATGCGACGCTGCCGTTCACAGCAACAACGGGTGGTGGGTAGCGTCGCAAGCTGCCGCTGCCGTTCACAGCAATGACGGGTGGTGGGTGTGTGTGCAGTGGCGAAGTGGAGTGGAGTTGTGATGATGGTATTGTGTCGAGGTCTGGTGGTGGTGTTGATGCTGGTTGTAGTGGTGTTTGAGCAGTTGTGGTGCAGATGTAGTGTGTCGTGGGTTCAGATCTGGTTGGTAGAGATAGTGATAATGTGTGGTTGGATGCGGTGGTAGTGGTGGTAGGTGTGTATGCTGTGGGTGCAATGGCATTGGCGGCGTGGTGACGGCACTGTCGGTGTGTGGTGTTTGACCAGTCGTAGAGCAGATGTGATATGTGGTGGGTTGGTAAGTTCAGATCTGGTTTGATGGTGGTAATAATAGTCGTGAGGTGGTGATGTTGTAGTCGTGGTGTTGTGTTGTTATTATTGGTGGTGGTGGTGGTTGCGACGGGATGAAGAGTGTTTGGACAACTATTTGGTTGATTTGTGACCAAGTATTGGTGGTGGATCGGGATCCGGGTTGATTTTTTAGTGTATGTGATTAACTATTTGGTTCTCTGTGATTAACCGTTAAACTATAACCTTAAAATTTGATGATTTTTAACCAAAAATTTGAAAATATGTGACCGATAGATGAACTGTAACATATAAATTTTTTAATCTATGATCGACGAAATAAACCGTGACCTATAAAATTTTTGATTTGTGATATCGAAATAATCTGTAACCATTTAATTTGATAATATGTGACCAATAAAAGTTGTGACCTATAACATATGTGACCATTAATTATATATTATTATCTTTAATAAATAAAAATAGTTTTAATTAATAAATAAATACCTAATTTTTGTATTTTTAAACTTAAAACCTGATTTTTGCATCTGTGAAACTTAAAGCCTGATTTCTGATTTTTTTTTTTTTCCCTTTTTTTTTTACATTGCCAGTGTGTGGTGTTTGACCAGTCGTAGAGCAGTTGTGGAGCAGATGTGGTATGTGGTGGGTTGGTAGGTTCAGATCTGGTTTGATGGTGGTGGTGATAGTCGTGAGGTGGTGATGTTGTGGTCGTGGTGTTCTGTTGTTATTGTTGGTGGTGGTGGTGGCGGCAGCGACAAGATGAAGAGTGTTTGAACAACTATTTGGTTTATTTGTAATCAAGTATTGGTCGTAGATCGGGATCCGGGTTGGTTTTTTGGTGTATGTGACTAACTATTTGGTTTTCTGTGATTAACCGTTAAACTGTGACCTTAAAATTTGATGATTTGTGACCAAAAATTTGAAAAATATGTGATCGATGGATGAACTGTGACCTATAAATTTTTTAATCTATGACCGACGAAATAAACTGTGATCTATAATATTTTTGATTTGTGATACCGAAATAATCTGTAGCCATTTAATTTGATAATATGTGACCAATAAAAGTTGTGACCTATAACATATGTGACCATTAATTATATATTATTATATCTAATAAATAAAAATAGTTTTAATTAATAAAGAAATACCTAGTTTTTGCATTTTTAAACTTAAAACCTGATTTTTGCATCTGTGAAACTTAAAGCCTGATTTTTTTTTTTTCCCCTTTTTTTTTTTTTATATATTAGCCCAATTTACAAAAAAGAAAAATTTAGTCCGATCCTAAATCAACCGCTAGAGCCACTTAAGTTGCTTCTAATGGTTTGATGGTACTCATACCCTATAGTCAGGTCTTTGAGCCTAAGATGTCTATCTTGTCTATAAAGCTGATAATTGGCTACACATTTGACATTGCGTGTTCTCCAACCTAACTCTGTTGCAAAGATGATCGTTGCTTCAACTTGATTTTCTTGAATCTTGCTTGTTGTACAGGGACCTGCCTGCCAGCAACACAGGTGGGGCCCGCATTAAATTTTTTTTTTAAATGCGTGTGGGGCCCACCCGTTGTGAGGGGCATGTAAGATCCCTGTGAACCATTTTTCTGTACACAAGACATTATTCGATTTTCTTAGCATGAAAGTCAACCTCTTCCCAACTTGGTGATTTTGGTTGGGATATCGACAAATTATCCTAATTTGGAGCCACCATAGCGCCCTAGTCTCAGCTTACAACAACCTCAGTTCAAGCATGTCTCGATGCATGACACGGTCAGCCTTTCTAAGCTCCGGCCTCTTTAATGTCGAACTCTCAGCTGGTGTCCACCTAGTTATTTAAGGGTGATGTATGTGATGGATACAACATCTGAGATTATTCTTAATATATATCGATGAACGTGAATTTGTATTGTATGATCCACGATAAAATGTATTTTTTACTTAAAAAGAATCCGTTAGTATTGTGTCACTAATTAATTAAGTCACATTCAGCTAAATCATCATGACACCAAAAGAATTATTTTTCTACCTCTAATGAATTTTTTTTGGAAATACTTTAATGTATTAAAAGAATTATTTTAATATAAGGAGTTTTGAATGTTGATTAATATTTCGCTGATCA